TCTTCACCTTCCAGCCCCTGCCCGAGCGCAACGGGCACGGCCCCGCCGCCGGCCGGGGAGCGGGGCACCAGCCCCCGGGCACGCCCTGACCGCGCACCGCCGGGCGAGCCCCGCGGAACCAGCGGCTCCGAGCGCTCGGGACTGCCCTGCCCCGGGGCCAGGGGAGCCAATGGACCCTGCTGTGCTCGGGAAGGAGCGGGGACAGGAGGGACAGGAGGATTCGTGTCACAGCAGTGCCCAGAGCACTGCCCAGGTTCCCGATGATTCCCAGAGAAACTACTGAGGGCAGGGAGGGTGCAATGCCCAGGGAAGGGCACAAGGGACTCCTCAGGTGGCCTGGGAGAGCTGAGCAGGCACACACAGCTGTGTGCAGAGAGGAGGAAATGGGGTGGGCAGGGTGGGGGTGCCCAGCTGTGCCAGGATGGGGGGGATGGATGATGGATGGATGGATGGATGGATGGATGGATGGATGGATGGATGGATGGATGGTGGATGATGGGTGGATGGAGCAATGAGGAATGCACTGAGGTCATTCCTCTCCAGGTTGTCCCTGGCTCTGCCCATAATTCCCGATTGTTCCGTACATCGCTGTACACTCGCACTTTAGAGATGGAAAACAATGATTAAAGTCATTTCTCAACGACTGAAACACTTGCTGCTGTTACTGTAGGGCTGGGATTCAGCCACGATCCCTCATCAGGATTCTCACTACAGAATAAAACACTCATGGCCACTAAATTTGCCATTGTGGCTCGTGGGATGTCATTGCTTCCCCCATCACCAGCACACATAACTCTTCCATCTGGAATTAGTTGCAGGAGTTCCTTCACCGGGAACTCTTTAACAGTTTGAAAATTGGGAAAAACTCCACATGGATCTGAAGGAGGGACTACAAAGATTACAGAGGACAAAGTCTGATATGCCACCTTAAAATATGAAACTTTAGCAAGGCCACCTGACTTGTCCAGATGAGATCTATTCTGAATATCTTCATTTTTCCCACTGGAACGTTTCACAACCTCCACCAGGCAAAGCCCGCCCAAACGAGGCTGTACAAATCACCCTCTTCCTTATGTTTAGTCCTTCTTTTGATGCAATGTTTTCCTTTAAAGGAAAAACTATTTGGGCCAGGGCACAATCACAAGGCCTTGTGGGACAAACCCATTTTTTGTTACAGCCAAACTGAGTTTGCCAAGCAGAACATGCAGTGGCAGTGGCACATGGTATCTTTTTATGCTCACTCACAGACTTTCTGATGAACCCACTCTGCGGGCAAACAGATTTGCCTTTCTCAATGGATTGCTGCCATTTAGCACCCAAGGTGTTCATAAAACACTGAATTTCCCCAGGTTAAGCTGCTGTGTGGAGCTTCGTCCCTGAGGAGGGGCTGCTCCAGGGCCACTCAGTGGAGAGGCACAGCTGGAATGGCTCAGGGAGCTTTGTCACAGCCCAGCTGTACAGAAATTAAACCCATTAGGCTTCAGTGCACTCAGCTCTCAATGTGCTGCTTATGTGTGAGAAGAGTTATGCTAAAATCAATCCAGCTGAATGAGGCTGGAGCTGGAGAGCATCCTGCATCCTTTGCTCTTTGGAAACGCAGCTTCCCATTATCTTTACAAATGTGATGGGGAGTGGAGAGAGAGGACATCGGTGTTACAAAGTACAGTTCCAGTCTGCAAAATGTCAAAATAGCAACTTTCTATTCAGCAGCTGAGCTCTGTGCTCTGGGTTTGTGTGCTTGACTTTCACCTCAGACAAATGAGCAGAAAATTGCCCGGCACGGGAGATAATCACAGCAGTTATGGGATGGAATTATGGGTGTGCTCACATCCAGTGTTCCTTATCTCACAGTACAGGGAATACAGGGATTCTGGCTGGATTCACTCCACAGGAGCTGCTCACCTTCTCACAGCTCCTCTGTGGCTCCCACATTCCAGAGGGCAGGACATGGAGCTCAGGGCTGGTGCTCCACACAAACACCACCTGCACCTGGAGAGGCAGAAAGAAACACCTCAGAATATGGACACACGTCACGCTGGCTTTGTGAAATGTTTGCACCCACTGTGATTTTTTGGGGACTGGAAGGTTGCAGTTCCACCATCAGATTTAACAATCCCAGGACAACAGGTTGGTGTGCTTGGGTTGGAACTGAACTGAGGGGATAAACCAGGTTTTTCTGCTTGGGTTTGAATTAAACTGAGGGGATAAACCAGGTTTGCCTGCTTGGGTTTGAATTAAACTGAGGGGATAAACCAGGTTTGCCTGCTTGGAACTAAACTGAGGGGATAAACCAAGTTTGTCTCTTTGGGTTGAAACAAAACTGAGGGGATAAAGCAGGTTTGTCTCCTTGGAACTAACCTGAGGGGATAAACCCAGTGTCCCTGGGGAGAAAACAGGGCTGTGATGCCAATTTATGTCACCGTGACAGGGACAGCTCCCCCTGCACCCCTCTGCTCTCCTGCCTGGGTTACAGCAGAAAATTACATTATGTTTCTACTCAGGTCTAATCTGTGACCTGGCTTTTTCCCAAAAAAGCCAAAATTCCACTGCCACATAAGTGGAAGGAGACAGGGAAAGGAAACCTGGGGCTGTAACTGGGAATTTCTTATGACAAAACACATTGGCTTGAGCTGTGAAGAACATGCCCCCTGTCTAGCAATTCCCATAATCTTTATAGCACTCCAGCCAAGACACAGAGAAAAAGAGAATGGATATTCAAAATTAATAAGAATCCATCACTGTTTCTCTAATAAGTCAGCCTAAAAAGCGGATGTAGTAAAACTTTAATTTATAGCTGTGATTAAAAAGCCTTTAATTGCCTATTTCACAATTTCCTTTCAAAATGTTCTTTGGGAAGCACAATCATTTGATTCCACTGAGACTTGTGTGCAAATGTTTCATTCTGGTGAAGAACCTGAACTTTCTGTGACCTCCAGAAAATGGAAATTATTTTTCCTTTCCTTGATTTGTCGAGCTTTGGTCTCTTCCCTGTGAAGATCAAAAAAAAAAAGCTGTCCAGATAAGTAAATTTAACACGTGGCCTGGAGCCTGGGGTCCTTGTGCGACATTTGTCCCTCTCCTGGGGGGTGACAGTCCAGCCCTGCTCCGCTGGACACGGGGGAGCCCCAGCCCGGCTGGCACCGAACGGGAGCGGTTTGGGAAATCCAACACCGCCACCTACGGGACTGCTGTGCGGGAGAGGCACAAATCCCATCCCTGCAGGCTCCCGGTTTTACACGGCTCCAGTCCAGCCCTTGGAACAAGAAGGCTTCCCCTTAGGGCACGGGGGGAGCTGGATACCCTGCGTTTAATAATTATAATAAATAATGAGGAGGTATTTTCCCAGTTCTGGGTTTATCAGCTCGAATTGTCACCTGGCTCATGTTGAATCTTCTGCTGTAGGCAGCAGTATGTAGGAATTTCTAAAGAGCCACTCAAGTGCAAAACCTCCCGAGTCTGTGGCTGGTTTTATCCAGGGTGTTGTTCCATCCCCTGGCACTGTTCAATCCTCCTTTGGACTTAGATTTGCAAAACCTTAACGCTTTATTTAATGTTGTACAAAACCTCGTGAGTCTGTGGCTGATTTTATCCAGGGGTGTTGTTCCATCCCCTGGCACAGTTCAAGTCTCCTTTTGGGCTCAGACTGGGAATACCTTAACTCTTTAATGTTGTACAAAACCTCCCGAGTCTGTGGCTGGTTTTATCCAGGGTGTTGTTCCATCCCCATTCAAGCCTCCTCTTGTGTTCAGATTTGGAATATCTTAAAACTTTAATGTTGTACAAAACCAGAATGGGGTGTGAGGCTGAGCAAGAGGAGCATCATCCCGATGTTCCAGGGAAAACCAAATATTCCTGAGCTGTACAAACATGAAATGTTCATGGGGAGAAGCAGGTCCTGAGGATCTCATGGGGTTGGACACAGCCAAGAGCTGGAGCTGCACCTGGGTCAGGGAAGTTCCTGGGATCAGTCCAGGCTGGGGAGGCACAGGTGGACAGGGAGGCGATGGGGGAGAGCTGGACATGGAAAATGAGCCCCCGTGCCCTGGGCTGATCCCCGTGGGCAGCAGGAAGGGTGGGGACTGTGCCCCTCTGCCCAGGGGAGACCCCACCTGCAGAGCTGCCCGGCACAGCCCGGAGCTGGAGCTGCTGGAGCCAGGCCGGGATGAGCAGAGCATGGAGCAGCTCTGCCGGGAGGAGAGGCTGGCTCAGCTGGGATCGGCCACCTGGAGAGCAGAGGCTTTGGGGTGAGCTCCCTGCGGCCTTGCAGGGCCTGAGGGAGCCACAGGAAACATGGAGACAGAGGAGAGGCTTTCGGGTGAGCTCCCTGCGGCCTTGAGGGCCTGAGGGAGCCACAGGAAACATGGAGAGATGGTTTACATCAGTGCGGCCCTGGGGAGAGAGAGGCCACGGGCGGGACGAGGCACCTGCCCTCACCTGCTCTCTTCTAGTCTCACCTGCCCTCTCCTAGTCTCACCTTTCACCTGCCCTCGCCTGTTCTCACCTGCCCTCGCCTGTTCTCAACTGCCCTCGCCTCCTCTCACCTGTTCTCACCTGCGTTCCCTGCCCTCACAACAGAGAACTACAGTTCCCGGCATGCCCCGCGCGCGCCTCCTCGCCCATTGGCTGCCGCGGCCGGAAGCGGCCCCCTCGCGCCGGGGGCGTGGCGGAAGCCGGAAGCGCGGCTGGCGCAGGTGAGTGCGGGCCCGGGGCTGCGGCCCGGCCCGGGGGGCCCGGGCCGGGCCGGGCCGGATCCGAGCTCGGCAGTTCCCGCACTCGCGGGCGCCGTGTCCCGGCCCCGGCTCTCTGCACGGCACATGGCATCCGGGGAAGTTGCCCCTGCCCCAAAAGATCCCAGTTTCCCTTCGGGATGTCAAGAGCACTGTAAAGATTTGTAAATGTGGCTGAGAGCAATTCAATCATTAAATACGTGTAGATGTGTATAAACATGCAAGGGGAGGGGGCAGAGCAGGGCCAGGCTCTGCCCCGGGCCCAGCGATGCCCCAGAGCCCTGGGCAGGGCTGAGCCCAGCAGTTCCCTGCCCTGGGCAGTGCCAGCCCCGGGCAGAGCCCAGAGAGGGGCTGGGGTCTCCCCCCGGGGTGTTCCCCATCCCCCCTGTGCCCTGGTGTGGGAATGCAGGGGTGGCCCCAGGGCCCCCTGTGGTTCCCTCCCTCCCCGGGTGCTGGGATTCGTTTGCTGATGGCTGTTAATGATGATAATTGAGTGTCACTCCTTTCTCATCTCCACAACCCCTCCCAGCAGCCCAGCATGGAAGAATTCAAAGCTGCGAGCCCGCTTGAGGAGTCACTGCACCACCTGAAGCTGTCGGAGCAGAAGGCTCCAGAGACTGGCCCCAGAGATGCCCAGCACCCCCAGAGCCTGGGCAGGGGCTGTGCCCCCTCCCCAGGCCAGGAGCCTGCAGAGGAGTGCTTCCATGACTGCCAGGACTCCTTTGAGGCCAAGGCAGCTGTGCTGGATGATGAAGGGAACGTTCAGGATGACGGCAGCAGCTCCAGGAAGCAGACAGAGCTAGAGGAAGAATACTTGCTAGAGCTAGAGAAAGATATGCCAGAGGAGGAGAAACAGGTAATGCAGAGCACAGTGCTGGTGTGGGATGATCTGTGCAGGTATTAAATAATCTGTGTATGAAATAATCTGTGTGCAGGTGTAAAATGATCTGGGTATGAAATAATCTGGGTACGAAATAATCTGGGTATGAAATAATCTGTGTGGGTGCTGGTGTGGCATGATCTGTGTGCAGGTATTAAATAATCTGTGTATGAAATAATCTGTGTGCAGGTGTAAAATGATCTGTGTACGAAATAATCTGGGTATGAAATAATCTGTGTGCAGGTATGAAATAATCTGGGTATGAAATAATCTGTGTGCAGGTGTGGGATGATCTGTGTATGAAATAATCTCTGTGCAGGTATGAAATAATCTGGGTATGAAATAGTCTGTGTGCAGGTGTGAAATAATCTGTGTGCAGGTGTGGAATAATCTGTGTATGAAATAATCTGTGCAGGTGTGAGATGATCTCTGTGCAGGTATTAAATAATCTGTGTGCAGGTATGAAATAATCTGGGTATGACATAATCTGTGTGCAGGTATGAAATAATCTGGGTATGAAATAATCTCTGTGCAGGTGTGCAGTGATCTCTGTGCAGTCACTGTTGGTGTTTGGAGTGCTCTGGCTCTGACACAGAGCCACCTTTAAAGCCCTCGAGTGTCTGGATTTTTCTAAATTCCCTCTTTTAGTAACAAATGTTTGTGGCTCTCCCTGCTGCCCTTATTCCAGGGCAGGTTCTGTGTGCCCCGAGCAGAGGGTGGGGTGGCTGTGACTCAGGAATTTGTAATTTCAGCAGCAGAACTCTCCCTGCTGCTGCTGTGACTGTCTGTGCATCCCTGGGTGCCTGCAAGGTGCCTCTCCAAACCCAGCAGATTTCAGGATGGTTTTCCTGAAGGTTGGTTGTGGGTTCAGCTGGAGTAGATCCCTGTGCATTACTGGGGCTCCAGTCAAACAGAAGCACATGAAAGGTGTGGGATTGTTGGCTTTCACTGCTGTCACACTGGACAAGCTCATCCTGCAGCAGGGAACAGGCAAATGCAGTTTTTCATCTGTAGAACCAATCTTTGTAAATATAGAGGTTCCCTGAGGTGGAAAAGCAATACTGGGGAAGAACAACATGGGGTGGAGTGTCCTTGGAGTAGGAGTGGGACTAAAATACTCCTGGTGTCTGCTGGGAATCCCTTTGGATCTCTGTGCCTCAGTCTGGGCTCTGAATGGGCAGAGTGGTGCTGCCAGGTGAAATTCAGTCGTGAAGAGTGGGGGTGGCAGTGCCAGGAGGTGTTCTGCTGCATCCTTGGGGCATTTCAGTGCAAGCCTGTGCCCAGAGCCAGGGGCATCTCTGGCACAGCCCCTCTGGCTCCCTGTGCTGCTGTTTAACTAGCCTAGAAGCTTTTGTCCTGTGTTTAATTAGAATCTCCTTTATTGCAGAGCATCCTGGAGTCCCCCTGGGAAGTCAGGGTCTTGTGGTTGCTGTTGTAGGAAGGAGTTTGTTTGATTTGGGGGTTTTTGCCCCAAACAGGGCATCCTCCAAATGCATCTCTCAGGTGCTGAGCAGAGGGCAAAAATCCTGCCTTGACCTCACACACAAAAATCATTTCTTTGCCCTTGGGTTTTTCCAGTGAGAGTGAGCAGTCCCTTTTTTCTCCTGGTGTTTATTCCTGTCCAGTGAGGAGCACTGCCAGCATGAGTCACCCTGGGGCTGCAGCACCTGCCTGGCACTGGAGAGCTTTGAGAGAAACTGCTGAAAACTGGGGGAAATTGTTCTGGAGCTGAACTCTGAAAAGAGCAGCAAGCCTGGCAATGGGCTGTGTTCATTTTCCTGCTGTTCCTGGTTTGGGTGTATTTTTAGATAATCATCTCATTTTGCACATGGATCTTTGCCTGCTGTCAAATGACCAAAATAATTGGGAATGCTGAATGTTGGCACTCAGCTTTGTGGAACTCCTCTGAAAGGGGCAGTGGGAGTGCAAAACAACAACTGCTTCAAACGGGGAAGGTTTCCTCAGAGAAAGGCTGGGGCAGCTGCAGCTCTCATCTTCCTGCAGGTTTATTTCCAGTGGTGTTGAGCAACTCTGCCCTTCAGGGTGGTTTGTGATTTCAGCTGCCCAAACAGAGGGGTTCTGTCTCACCAGCACCACAAGTACTGCATCAGCAGGTTTGGTGTTCCACTGAGAGGTTTCTGAATCTTGCAGATTTTCAGTTGTAGTTTTTTTTCTCTAGTAAAATATTGCTGGTGTGTGATCCAGGCAGAGCTGCAGAACTCTGAATGCAGAGCAGAATCAGGAGCTCAGACAGTTGTGACAGGCACTGGAGTGGCCCCTGCCGTGATCTCCCCTGGGCAGGTCACTCCTCAATTGCTGCTCCACCTCTGCTCCTTGTACTTGCTGCTGATGGCCATGAATTTATTTTTCAAAGTGAAACATTCTGTATATTCTGATTATAAAAGATTCTGTTAAATGCTGCAGCTTTTAAGGAAAAGTCCTGCAGTCCCAGTCTTAAAACAGTGCTGTACATTCATTTACTCAGAACTTTTTTAAACCTTTTAACCTCCTTCCAATGACTCAAAAGGTTGGGGTTTTTTGGGAAGGGCAATGTGATTTTTTATTTATTTTTATTGCAGCTGCAGCAAAGGAGACAGAAATAGTCAGCAGTGGTTTTTGGCTGCTGAGGTGGGAGCAGCCTCCCAGCAGTGCTTGCTGGGCCCTTGTGAGCCCGTGCTGGCACACCTCAGGGCCAGGGCAGCTCTGAGGGAGGTGGTTCACAGCGACACCAAGCTGCATTTTTAGATCCTGGTTGAAGCAGACATCAAACAGCAGCTGCTGCTGGCACCTGGGGAGATGGATTTGATTTGGCTGCTTGCCTACAGCACAAAAGCTCCCCAGGAACTGGTGCTGCAGCACCAGCCATGAGCTGGGCTCAGGGCACAAGGAGAGCTGGGTGTGAGCCCTGCTCCAGTCAAGCTTGTGGAGCTTCACCTCCTCAGGTTGGGGTTTTTGTTAGCAAACCCACTGCTGTGCTCAGCAGCTGGAACAAACGGGCTCTGTGGAGGGTGTTCAGTGCTGGGCTGGAGGAAAAGCCTCTGATTTATTCTGGAGGTGCACAGGCAGGTCCTGGGCCTGCTCTGGGTGTTGCAGATTCCAGCTCAGAGTAAAACACTCACCTGTGCAGAGGCTGCTGCAGAGCTCAGAGGGAAGGAGCCAGGGAGGGATTGTGTGTTTTCTCTCATTACATTTCAAGGGCCCCATACAGGGAGATTTCTAAGGTTTAGCAGCAGGATTCCTTCCAGGGAGACAGCAGGGATGCCCTAAGAAATCTTCTGTGCACAGAGAAGCAAAACAAGAACTTGCAGGGATATTAAGACACAAACCTGTAAGAAGTGTTCTCAAAGCCAGAGCCTGGTTCCTTGCCTGGGGTTGCACCTCTGAGCTTTTCAAGGATTGCAATTCACCTCTGCAGGGTTTGGTTGTTGTTTCACAAGGCTGCTGCTGCTGCCTCAGCAGAGGCACTGAGCAGCAAATTGCTTTTGATGCATTCCAAGCAGATTTTGCTGGCTGCTTGTCAGTGACAGTGATGGCTTTGACATGGGGTGCTCTGCAGAATGAATCTGAGGACAGCCAGCAGCTGCTGCAGGGTCATTGTTCAGCCTGGCCAGCCCTGTCTGAGGGCACCCTTTAATGAGGAGCTGATCCAGTGCAGCACTCCCAGTCCCTCAGCTCCTCCCTGTGGCAGATGCTGTCCTGTCCTGTGGCAAGGACTTCAGCACCTGGCCTCTAATTTTGGGTATGGAGGCCTGTGTTCTGTGAGACACTCAATAAACACCAATATTCCTGCTGGGCAGTTCCTTCTCTGGCCTCTCCATGTGCCTGGATCACAATTCCTGTTTGACAGCAGGAAATGGGTCAGCAAGACAAGCAAGAGGAGATTCTTGAGGAGTGTCTTGTGAGCAGCTCTGTAAGAATGTGGTGGAACTGAATTGAAGAAATAGGATTTTTCAGTGATGCCTGAGATTCCTCCTGGGCTAAAGAGTAAAATTTCCTTTTTATAACCCTCCAGTTTGCTGCAGGCTCTAGGATATGTTAGAGAACATTGGCTTAGTGAAGAATTTCCTTTAAGCTGCCCCCTCCTCACCCTTCCTTTCCTCCCCGTGCCTTTGGGTTGATCCCATTGTTTCCATAAGGGGAAGCTTCTGTATAGAATAAAACATCCTGTTCCATGTCCTGAGTTAAAGCCTGGAGGAGAACATTGAGCAGCAAATCTGTATCTGCTGGAGTCATTAAGTGCAAGAGCTGGTGAGAAGGATTTGAATAAAAGCTGGAATTAGAATCTCCCTGTGTGATTTCTAATTCTTTGAGTTTTAAACAAACAAAACTCTTTTGCTGAGTGGCAGTTCAATAGGAAGAGGGGAAATTGTCCCTTGGTGTCCCTTTGAGTGCTGCTGGCTGAGTCCTGTGTTCAGCTGTGCATTTCAGAGTGCTGCTGTCACATCCAGCCTTTCCCCTGTGCTGATGGGTTTGTGGGCAGCTCCTGTCCCTGCCCCAGGCTGCTCCTCTGCAGCACCAGGGAGGAATGGCAGGAAGAGGCACACTTAGGCTGGGCTTAACTGGAGCTGGCAGGGAGGGCTGTGACCTCCTTCCCTGGTCTGGGAATGCTGCTTCCAATTCCGTGGGATTGGGTGATTTGGTGGTAGAAAGAGGAAAGTTCTTCTGTGTGCAATCCCAGGGAGCAGGGACAGGCCAGGTCCATCCCTGCCTTTGTCCTGGAACCTCCCAAGTGCAGCTTTGGGTGTTTTCAAGATTTAAAAAGGGGATTTGGGGGTGACTCCAACCCTAAACTGAAATCCAAAGGCTGGGATGCAGGATGGAGCAGTAGCTTCCCAAAACTGCAGGGGGAGGCAGACAGCTGCTGCTGAGTGACTGAGAAGTGGGACTGGCATGAAAAATGCATTCCTGATCTGCTTAAAATCCCAGTTCTGTGCCCCCTCTGAACTGCAGGAATTTGGATGCCCCTGGTTTTGGTGACCTTCCAAGGGGCTGAGGGGCAGGCTTACTGGAAGCAGAATGTCTCCAGAACTGGAGCCAGGAACAGTTCCCAGCAAAGGGAAATCCAGGATCAGTCCCAGCACAGCAACAGCCAGAGGAAATGTTGTGGGCAGTGTCACAAACTGAGGCTGTTCCTTCAGCTCCCACTGGCTGCTCAAGGATTTCACTTGCAGCACTTCTGTGGCATTGCTCACTTCCCCAGGAAACAGGGAATGTGTAGGTTGCTGTCTTCTCTGATAGCAGATAAATGCTGCTATTACTGTAAAAATTACATTTCATATCCAAATAAAATTTATTTATAATTGTATAGTTATAAATAAATTCTAGAAAATTCTATTTTATATAATGTTTTTCTTGTTAACCCTGAGTGTTTTGGCAGAGCAGCCGAGGTGCAGGGGCTGTGTGGGATTTAGGTTTGTACTTTATTGTCACGAGGCCAGGCTGTCCCTTGTCATGACTTGAGATCATCTCCAGCAGTCCTGGCTTTGCCAGGCAGGTTTGGGTTAAATACTGACTTTTTCTGGGTCTGGGATTGGAATTCTGTACCAAATTTAAACATTTCTAATCAGACCCTGTGAGAATCATCACCAGTTACATTCAGTTATTTCTTCTGAGCTTCAAAAAATATTTAAACCACATCACAATCAGTGCCTGCCATGCAATTTGTCATCTTTGCATTACTAAAATTCACCAAAAAACCCAAACCTTCAGTTTTTGCTGCCAGTGAAGAGCAGAAAATGCTGCCCTGGGGGCTGTGGGTGCCTGCAGGGCTGTGTGTGAGCAGCCCTGGGGCAGGAGCAGCCCAGGGTGGCTTTTCCTGGGAATCTGGGAGTCAGGCTGCCCTCATTCCCTGCCAGGGAGGGAGGGAGGGCAGCTCCTGGGGTGTCTGGGGGGATGCTGGAGTGCTTTGGGGTTTCCCCTGGATCTGAACAAGTTTTCCCAGCCTCCCTGCAGCAGTGCAGCTGAAATGGAAATCCTAAGAGTTGTAGGAATCTGTTCCAGGAGTGTCTGACTGGATGGAGGAATAAATAATGCATTTATCTCACACCCAGCCTGCTTTGCAGGGCAGTGCCTTTGGCATGTGAGGGGCTCATCCATTTTTCATGCTCCACATTTGGTGGAAAAGCCAGAGGAATTGGCTTTGAGATGTTGCTTCTTGGTCACTGATACCTGAAATGCAAATCCATCCATGTGCAGGAGGTTCCCTACAGAAAGAGAAATCACCCTTTAAAAATACTTTGGCCACTCATTTTGGAAGTGAAAGCCATAAACCAGGGATATGTTGAAAATGTTGGTCAGGCTCTCACAGAAATGCAAGCTTTGAACCATTGCTGCTTTGCAGGGAGCAGAATAATTTTAGAAATGCATAGAAATGAACCATTGCTGCTTTGCAGGGAGCAGAATAATTTACAAAATCATACACAGAGCTCTTAAAAGTGCTGCTTTGTTGCTTTGTTGTTTTTCCTTTTAGCCCTTTTTTAATATAAAGCTTATTCTTCTGAAGCTTTCTTGCTGCAAATCACTTTTTATATTAGCATTTAATGTATAATTAGGGTAAACATGTAATATTTTAAAATTATTTGGATAAAATGAAACAAAATATTGATAATACAGGTGAAACTTTTCATCCAGCATCCTTTGATTCCAGGGTTTCTGCCTCAGGACTGCTGTGAGCATGCTGTAATTGTGTTGATAATAAAAATCCTTTCATTCTCGTGGAGCTGTAAGTGAACCCTGTGCAGCAGAGAGTGCTCGTGGCACTGAAAGGCCACTTCTAAATAGGTCATGAGCAATGAAGTCAGTGGGGTTTGTGTTTCAGGCAGCCCTTCCCCTCTCCGAGGGCATGGTGGAGATCTTTCCAGCAGGATCCTCATCCCAGGCCTGCCCTGTGCTGAGATGGGGCTGCTTTGTTCAGTGCCACCAGAGGCTGGATCATTGTCAGCCTTTGTGCACTGCACAGTATTTAAAATATTTATTGTCAGCCTTTTTGTGAGGTCCAGGCAGGAGTGTGTGTCTGCTCCCTGGAAATTGGAGGTGTGGCAGTTCCACCCTCCCTGTGCTGAGCAGCAGAGTTCTGCATTACAGAGCTTTGGGGTTTTCATGCAGCCTGAAGTGTGGAATCTGTATGGTCATGTTATAAAGCAGCAGGTGTGTCCCTTGGGGTGCTGTGGAAGGGCCTGGGGTTTGTCAGCCCTCCCTGAGCAAAGGCACTGCCTGAACACAAGAGTTTGTGTGCCCTGTGTTTTGTGGGGTTTCTTTAAAATGTGAGCACTGATGGCTATTGGAAAAACTAATTAATCAGCAGTAGGAACAAATGTGATGGTCTGGGCATGTATCAAAGGGGTCAGAAGAGATTCTGCTGTGGAATTTCATGCCCTGACTCGGTGTCCCTCCCCTGAGGCTGGTCTGTTCCCGAGGTGTGCCAGTGGTCAGGGGAATGAATCCCCAAAGCCCCAGAAGCAGGAGGGAGAAGCTGGCATTTTGAGCTGTTTGTCAGCTCCTTGGCAGAGCTGGAGCTGCTGCAGTGCTCCACACTCTGTACTATATTTAGCTGTTTCCAAGGAGATGTTCTGTGTGATATTGATAATTGCATTAATCCTTGATTCACACAATCTGCAGGAAAGGAAACTGCTCCTTTTCCTACTGTTGGCTTTTTAATTGCTCAGTGATCTGTCATTTCCAGACACCTCCACTGAAGTCCTTTGTGTGCTGGGAGAAAATCCAGTGCTCCAGGGATGGTTTTGTAGCCCTCCTGAGCTCTGTGGTGTTCCTGCCCTTGCCTGCTTTGTTTCAGGAGTGTCTGCAGTGTCAGGGGGTGGCAGGGCTGGCCTGGGGACATCCTGAGTTTTCTGTGTCACCGGCTGAGCCTGAGCCTGGCCTCCCCTTGTGCCAGCATGTTCATGGTTGAGAGCACAGCTCTGCTCACACGTGCAGCTCTCACTGCACAAAGAACCTGCTTCTGGGGGTTCACTTGCTCCCCCTAAGAAATCTTCCAGGGCAGGAATCTTTCTCAGCCTGGACCTTCTCCTTGTGCATCTCTGAAAATAACCGGAATTGCTGAGGTGGAATTATTTCAAGCAAAACTTGTGAGACTTTACATTTAAAATACATTCTGCACAGTTGACCTGCAGTGAGTGAATTAAATGGAGTTGGAAAGGAGAAGCAAACAGCCAGTAAAAGCTGATGTGTTGGGTTAAAGCATGGAATTCTCCATGGATGCTCTCCCTGCATCCTGGTGGCTGTGGAGTGGAGCTTTTTAATTGCCTTGCTGTTACACTCCAGTGTTTCATGGGTCTAGAAAGCATTTCATGTCACAGGGTCTACAAGCAGATCTTGGCAGAGTTAAAACTCTTCAGGTTCTGTTTTATTCTGCTTCCCTTCAGTACTTTATTTGGAGCTGCAGCTGACCTAGTTGCTCATTTCAGTGAAATACTCTGAGACATTGTCTTTCCTTTTGCAGAAAAGAAGAAAGGAGAGCACGGGGCTGAAGGAGAAGGGAAATGAGCACTTCAAGAAAGGAGGTGGGTTGGACATCTCAGAACACCCCGTGCATGGCAGAGAACCCCACATTAGCACTGAGCCATCGTGGTGGTGCTGCAGGAAGCTCTGAGGAAGACCTCACACACTTCTTGTTGAATTTTCTCACCTCTTGCATTTTTCATCCAGGGAGAGACAGAGCTATCAGACCTCCTTTAGAGTTGTTTAAATCCAAAGGTTTGGATACTAAAGCAGGATTCCCACGAAAGCTGAGTGTGTACATACAAAACCATGGATTTTGGACTGCCTTCCAAGAGCCAGGCTTTCTTTTACTGATCAAAAAAAGGCTTCCTTGGGGCTCTGAGTTGGGCTGATGGTTGTGCTTAGAATTGGTGCAAGATCTGGGACTCTGTTTTGTAGCCTTTATACATTGATTTTAGTGAACAGACTGAAGGGGGGAAGTGGTTTTGAACCTGCCTTTGATTGAACCTGCTGTGGGTGGAGGATTCCCAGAGAAAGCAGGGATTGCAGGCTCCTGCTTCCCTCAGTCAGCAGGACACAGGCAGGGGATGGATCTGTGTGCCCTGAGGAGCAGCAGAGGCTGCAGATGCCTCGTGGAGTCTAAGGGAGCAGCCCTGGGGATGATCCCCAGCTCTGGAAGGCATCAGAGAGGGCAGGAGGGAAGTGCTGAGCCCAGGAGAGGCTCAGGCCTGGAGAGCTGCTGGAGTCTCACCCCTGGCCTCTCCTGGATCTTTCAAGGTGAAGTTGATGTGGCCATGGAAGCTCCCTGCAGCTGCTCTGGCAGTGCAGTGACAGCCTCCAGCACTCCTCCCAAAGGGATCCCACCTCTGCCCAAGAGGAAACAATGTCAGGGATGATTTACATCCACTCCTGCTGCACTTGTTCCATTCAGCTCAGGAGTGCATTCCTGCTTTTATTAGCAAAATTAAGTAAATCCTAAAAGAATCAATTGTTTTATGAACTCAGTAATGTTCTTTGAGAGCAGATATTGAGAACTGTTCCCAAAGGAGACTCAGCCATGGGGTTCAGTGGGTGGAAATGAATGGTTTGGTTTGGGTTTTGTTGCTCTGCAGATTATGGAGAGGCAGAAGAATCCTACACCAAGGCTCTGCAGATCTGCCCAGCCTGCTTCCAGAAGGACAGGGCTGTTCTGTTCTCCAACAGAGCTGCTGCAAAAATGAAACAGGTCAGTGCTGCTTTCATTCTGTGTCACACTGACTGAGGCTGCCACAAATTGCACAAATGCAATTGTGAAGTGAGCAGAGCCCTCCAGGACCAGGCTGTCCCCATCCCCACCTTGTCCCCAGCCCAGAGTGCCACCTCCAGGGCTGGGGACATGAAGAAATATGCCTTCAATGTAACAAAAGTGTTTTGTGTTCTAGGACAAGAGAGAGGCTGCCCTCACTGACTGCACCAAAGGTACTTTTTCCTCTCTGTGCTGCTCTTGTGCCAGATTTTTATACATCACTTGTGTCATTTAGTGCCTTTACTGCAGAGCTGTAATTCTGGGCATAAGGGGCTTTAAAGAGCTGAACAGAAAACACCTGATTTGTATTACTTATTTTGTGAAATGTCTGTCAAGCCTTTCCTGTCTGCAGTGATTTACTTTCTATTCTCCTGTACCATAAGGCTGCAGTTTGTACTTGTTTGTAATAGGAAAGGGTTTTCTGTGGAGACTGTTTCCCACACCTGTGATTTCAAACCCACTTCCACCTGCCCAAATCCTGGTTTAATCCCAGCTTCCAAAGAATTCTGAGGCTTTATAGAGTTAACAGCATTATCAAGTCCCTTTCCTGCACAGCTTTTGCTTTGTCACCAGGGCTTATGTTCCCCTGTTCCTGCCCTGCACAGTTCTGTCTCTGCACCTTCTGGTGGAATCAGTTCAGCTGTGCTTTGCTTTATTGCTTCCACCCACTCACCCACCCTCGAGTGTTTGTTAAACTCCCTGTGACAGCTGGGGAAAAAATCCAAATTACCAATCAGAGAACTAATCCAGTGGCTGTGTGCCAGCACTGCCTGCACAGAAATGGGAGCTGTGCTTGCTGAAAGGGCTCCTGGAGGTACCAAACCCTCCCTGGCCTCTCTCACTGGGGCTTTGCCTGGTTTTGGAGCTGCTGCTTTCTGAAAAACACCTTGAATTTTGCAGTGGCTCAGAGGGAATCAGTGTGCTTTGAGCAGGGAGACTTCAGCTGCCAGGGCCTGACACTCCCCAGGGACAGCAGCACAGCAGAGCAGTTCAGTCACCTGCAGCTTGCTGCCTGTGCCATTGCCTTTGTCCTTGCCAGAAGATAAACTGGAATATTTACCTGGATAAGCTGAGATTTAATTGTCCCCAGAACCATTTTAATGAGCTGGGAATTATAAAATGGACAGACTTCTTTCTGTGATGAAAAATCCTCTTTCTGAGGTGAAATCTTTCACATTCCCTGTTTCTGTGGTGAAATCCTTCACATTCCCAGTTTCTGTGATGAAAAATGGATGAAGGAATTTTTGAGGAATTACCATGTGGAGGTGACTGCTGAGTTTAGCATTCAGTCTGAGCTGCCACTGCCAAGGGCCCTGGCTGCCAAGGGAAGGAGGGGAGGAAGAGCTGGGATTCAGTCAGGATGCCCCTCTGCCAGCTCACAGGGCTGAAATCACTGCTTGTGCATTCCCAACACAACCTGAACTGTTTGATATTAAATTCAGAAGAGCTCCAGAAATTCTCCTGGAGTTTGTCTCCACTTGAACTGAGATAAGCATGGCAAGGCTGATTTTCCCTGCTGTGTGTGTCTGGAGGGATGTTTAACTTTAGCTGCAATCTAATAATAGCCACTTGCTAAACACACAAAAACTGAAATATCTTGCAGGTCCTTCAAGTTTCTGTAGCATCACTTAGAATCCCTGCACGGATAGGATTGCACATTTAAAGCTTTGAGATCATAAATCACTTCCATCTGTGAGAGGTTGTGGACATTAAATGAAATATGATCATGAGACTGTCCCAGGCAGCTGCTTCTGAATTCCAGCTTAGCTTTAAGCTTGATCCTCAGTTACATTCTAAGGACAACTTACAAATGTAATACACACTTGAGAATTCATTTGAGGGCTGGAGAAATGTTTCAAGTACAATCCTGGGCTTTGCTTTTGTTTTGCAGCTGTGGAATTAGACCCTCACTATGTCAGAGCTTTGCTGAGGAGAGCAGAACTCTATGAAAAAACAGAAAAATTAGATGAAGCTCTGGAAGATTATAAGGCAGTCCTAGAAAAAGACCCCTCAGTTCACCAAGCCAGAGAAGCTTGCATGGTAAGCTTAAGCATTTCAGTGAACTTTGGCCTAACTTATTTATCATTATTTTAGTTCAGCTTCACACCACTGAACCTGCAATGGATTCTGCCTCAGAAGGAAAAAAAAAAACCTCACGTGCATCACCTGCAAATTTGTCTCTAAACCCACTCTGAATATGTTGTTACAAAAATCTTCTTGAAAGGCTTAATTGTTTTAAGTCTCCATTTGGGAAAAGAAATCATTAGCAGTGATTGTGCCCCCCTTTTCCCCACACTGTGGTGTTGTAAGTGACAGATTAGGAACAGCTTTTATGGCATATTAGGCAAGAAACCTTGCCTGGAATGATTTCCTGGGGGACTGGATCAGTTGCACTGATGGCAGAAAATATTCTGCTTAACTGTGTGAGTGCTGTTGGTGGGGAGGGGTGACCCCATAAAACAGCTGAGCTCCCACAAAGGACCTGCTGCCTCTGGAGCTGGCCTGGGGCTTCCCCTGGGCCAGGAACAGCTCCCCAGGGAATGGGCACAGCCCAGAGCTCCAGGAGGGCTTGGACCCTGCTCCAGGGATGCCCAGGCTGGGCTTGTGCAGGGCCAGGAGCTGGGCTGGATGATCCTGGTGGTCTCTTCCCACTGAGGATAATTCAGGAGTCTGAGTCAGAGCCTTGGGGGTGGCTGGTTCTGTTCAGGCTGCTTGGAACCCCAGCCTGTCCTTGGAGCCCTGCAAAGGCAGGATTTTCTCCCAGTGGCTGTGCTCTGATGGTCCCACAGCAGAGCCCCCACAGTGCTGCTCCCTCAGGCCCAGCTCAGAATGCCCAGTGTTCATTCCTGATTTCTGTGCCTGGGTGCAGAGGGTGGGGTTCACACCCTCCTGCTCCCTGAGCTCCCTTGGCCAGGCTGAGCCTTTGGCTGCAAAACCCTTTGTCCAAAGTGCCCTCAAATTCCCCTGCCCTGGCATTTGGTCTGTTCTGCCTTCAGCTGGCAGATTTGAGGGGAGAAGCAAACTATTGAGACTAAAGCATAAAACTCCCTTCTTGAAAACCTGTTAAGGAAATCCTGACAGCTGTAATTTTACACTTTTCAAATATTCATCATAAATCTTTGCATTTCATAATGAAACCCCCCAAGTTTCAGCTGTGGACTCCACATTCCTGGTTACATCTCTGACCTGGAGGAGGCTGAGAAGCTTTGCTCTGCTGTCAGGTGAAAGTGTCTCTGCCTTGCAGGAATATCTCAGCATCTTTTTCCCCCTCACTGGCAATGAAAACGATGCCTCAAGAAAATCTGCAAATGGGCTTCATTCACAGTTAGGCAAATCTTCCTCCTCCCTGCCCACAGGAATGATCTCACCCTGCTCTAGGGAATGTCATGACCCTGTTAAGTGACAGATTAAAATATGAAATGCACAACAGTTCTTTGATTCCTGATGTGGTACCTGCTCCAATACTCGAGCACTGTTTGTATTTCAGGAGTGCAGAGCTGGGGTTTCATTTCAATCCTCAGTTATTTTTGACTTTTTCAATGCCAGACTAAACAGTTTGGAATTATCAAATTGTTCTCAAATCACCCCTATTGCTGCTTTCCCAGAAAGTTTCATTATATGGAAGCAGTGGTTAGGTTGGGGTTTCACAGGTGTGTAATTTTGGGAGAATTTCAGCCTCCACACAGTTTTTGAGGGATTTTAGGGCAGATGAAGAGATTGGCCAGAAGCAGCTGTACTTTGGGATGAGTGTCACAGACACCAGTTAAAAATGGGTGTCCACAAGGCATTCCTGGACTGGGAGGTGCTGCTCTGCTCTAGCAGTGCTCAGAGTTGGAACTGCACACCAGGATTTGTGTCTGTCACTGCTCACGTCCAAAATGGGAGCATTAGTGAAAGAAGGGATCTGACTCCAGATTTTCTCTCTCTCCACAGAGATTACCACAGCAAATCGAGGAGAGGAATGAAAAATTAAAGAAAGAAATGTTGGGTGAGTAGTATGTACTTCCATAAAAACCTTCACAATCTACTAGAAAAAATACATTAATAGAATCTCTTATATAAAATTTAAAGGAGGTAAATCTGAAAGGAAATATTTGTTCAATGTTAAACTAAGCTCCTGATTTCTTTGTAGTTCTCAATTGCTTGGTTTCACCTTCGGTAAATTGGAGACAAGGAATTCTCCCATGCAGAAAAGACCACGGGTTCCATTTAAAGAAAGAAAACTCAAAACCCTCTGAAACAATTTCATATTGGTGTATGTAAGAGCTGGGGAAGATGGTTTGACACAGCCCAACTGCTCAGCCCTTTCTCCCTGCAAATAAACCCTCAAAGCAAACATTCCCATGAAAGGGATAAGCCAGGGCTTTCACTAAACCTGTGCCTAAAGGAACTCCCCCAGCTGGAATAACTGGGCATGTTTGATCTGGGGGCTGAAGAAATAAATGTGATTCTTTCTGTAGCACTTCCAGCCCAGAGACCTCCAAGTGTTCGTGTTTGCCTTGATTTATTCAGCATCTCATTGCCTTGATTTATTCAGCATCTCATTGCTCTTTGGTTGGAGGCTGAGTTGGACCTAGCCAGGGTTAGCACCAGGAGTGGAATTGCCATTCCTAAGGCAGTGGTTGGCTGCTCTGCAGAAAATCAGGTTAAAGAAACTCAGCCTGTCTTTCACACTGATCCTGGGATGTTTGGGAAGAAGAGACTGTTTCAGCTTATGCTGATGTTTTTCTGTAATTTCTTTTCTGCAGCCTCTGATTTGCTCTGCCTTTGTTGTGCTCTGACCTAGCAGAGTGTCAGTGAGGCTTTGCAGAGCTTTGCAGGATCAGAGTCTGCTTCCCCCATTGTGCTGAGAACAAGCCCCAAATAAAGCAGGTTAAGGGTGATGGGGCTATAAATAAATGACAAATGCAGAAAATCTCCGGAAGGATCAGGCCCACTGGTAGGACATGGGATGGGTTTCAGCACAAAGTAATATGAAAATAATTCCTGATCTTTGCTGAACTCCAAAGGGCCTCACTAATCACAAGGGATTTGACTGGAACAGTAAATCCAGCCCCTGCACTGCTGCTTTTTTCCTGGGTGTCAGACTAGGTGGGATCTCTTTTAACAGTGGTAATACTTTAAAAGTGGCAGCTGAGATTTCAAAACTGAGCTGGGCTTTTGGAACCACTTCAGACTGTTTCTGTTGGGATTCTGGAGAGAGAAATCCCTTCCCAGTGATGTCACACAAGGAGTTCAAGCTGGAGAGCCAGACTGAGAGCAGGGCAGGACAACACAGCACCTGGGTTCATCCCCAGCCTCGTGTGTGGCAGGGTTGTGCCAGCTCTGGTTAAGTGACAGTGATGGTGGCAGTGGTGCTGTCACACACTCTGAGGGGTTTCTACAAAACATTCTCCTGAAATGAAGTCAGGAATGTGGGCAGCTCCTTCTCGTGAGTGCTCCAAGGTTCCCTGGGTGCTGTTCTTGGGGAGGCACTGGTGATGTCATGGAGGAAGGAAACCTTGCAAGGTTTGCAAAGTGCTGCAGCTCTGAGGTCAGGAAAGCCCTGGAGGGGGCTTGGATGGGAGTTCTGGAAGGAGTGGGAGAAGAGAAACTCGATGGAATGTGGTGGTTCTGAGATTCCTTTGGGTTGTTTTGTTGTACAGTGGATTTGTTGGAAGCTGTGCCCACTTTCCCACCCTTTCTGATGGCATTTCCCACTGCCCTGCCTCGTGCTCGTGGCACTGTGGCTGGGTGACTGCGCTTGGGCAGTGCCAGGGGCACATTCCTGCCTTCCCAGGGGGCAGCTCAGGTGCCTGGGCTGTATTCCAGACTTTTGGGCTCCAGCACAGCAAGTGAAGCATCCTGATAGTTCCAGGGCAGGCCTGCAGCAGAGCACTGACTCTACACTGAAATTAGGAACAGTGCCCAGTTTGTGCTCTGGCTCCTTTGGAGCTGATCCTCAGTCAGTGACTTTGCCTCTCCTGGTTTTGCTGAGCTTTTATTCTTCCAACTCAGGCAAGGCCTGGGTTGCCCAACCATCTCCCAGTGTCCTGAAACTGGAGCTGTGTACAAACAAAGGCAGACAAATGAGTGCATCCTCCTCCTTCCCAAGTGTGCTTCCTGTTTCCCAGGGCTGCAGCTCATTTCTGTCAGAGGCTGAAGCCCTGTGCAGGGCTGCTGTGTGAGTAACCCAGAGCACACATTCCTGCCTGGATTTTCCTTGTGGCCCCTGTGACTGCAGAGGCTGATGTCACCAGAAACATCCTGCTTTGTGGCCAGGCCAAGCCCACTGGTGCTGTGTCCCCAGGGATCTCCCTTTTGGGAGGCTGCCATTTCAGTGTCAGTTCTTGCCACTCTGATCATCTCCTCTGCCACTGAAGTTTGCTCAGGATGAAGGGAGCCCTGAGCTCACGTCACAGAGCTGACTTGGGGCAGGAGATTTGGAATCCAAGTGGCTTTTCCCTCTGTGCTTCCCTGAGCATCCTCTGCCCCAGTGACTGAGGATGTGAACAGTGACCATTTGCTGGAGGGTTTTTGTTTCTCTCCTTAAAGCCAACAATTTGCAATCTTGTTTTGAGACTTTTAATGATTGTGATATCTGGGACCACTGGGGAGAGGGTGTGAGGAGAGGGGAGCTTTGGAATGGTTTTAGAGGTTTGGGGGCCAGAGCTCCTCACCTGGGCCTTCCTGCCCAAAGGAGATTTTTCCAGCTACCTGAGATCAGCAAAGGCATTTATCAGGCTTTGTGCCTAAAGAATTCTGGGGTTTTTTTTTGTTGTTGTTGTTGTTGTTGTTGTTTGGTTTTTTTGAATCCACAGTTATGTTGTGTTTGCAGCTGAGCTGCTAAACCCCAACGCTGCCCAAGGTGATTTTAAGTAGTTAAATCAGAACCAAATTACAGTTCCAGTTCAGTCCTGATTTACCATTTAGGGAAGGGAGAAGGATTTGCCCTTGCTCTTTTAATTGCTTAAAAATGTTGGTAATACAAGAAGTTACACAGAGAAGAGACCTCATCAGGAAATTTGTCTTTTCTCCAAAAGAATTCTTTACACAAGCAAGATGGAGCTTTTCAACTTCCAAACCCCACATTAGCACCAGCAACTAAGCCAGAATTATTGCCAGAAAGACTGAATAGCAATTAATTTTGGCTGTTACATCTTAATGTAAATTGTGAGTAATCTTTTCCTGCATCTGCCTCTTTCAATAGGGTGTTGAATTGCAGTTTAGGTGGGTAATGAATCACAGACTTCTGAGCCCTAAATTGATTTTTACAGTTCTGTTTTCTTGTTAACCTCTGAATATTTGCTTTGGTGAAAAACCTGAATGCGCTGGAGTTGCAGGTGGAACACAAACAGAGTGTGTTTGAAAGAAAAAGAGCAAAATGTGTGAGAATAAGGGCAGAGGGAGGAGAGGGTGACCCTGCCTGGGGACAGGGAGTGCTGGAGGCTGGGCAGCCTCTGCAGCTGAGCCCCAGCTCCACGTGGTGCCTTTTCCTTCCTCCCAGCACAGGCTGTGAGGGAGCTTTTCTTTGCCAGGGGGTTGCAGTTCACTACAGCCCTTAATTTAGGGCTGAAAGGAGCTGAGGGAGGAGGAGACAGCTCCCCTACAATGCTGGCTCTGTGTGTGCCAGGACAGCAGCAGCAGCTCTGGGCTGGAGTGCCCGGAAAAGCCAAGGCTTTCTCCTGCCTCATTAACAATTAATTCAGTGTGGCTGCCCCACAGCCTGCCTGGGGAGGCACAGAGCAGGAAGGTGAGCTGGGATGTGCTGCTGGAATGATCATAAAGCCCAAATCCCTGCTGTGCTGGGGAGCTGCTCCAGCTGCAGGGTGGGTCCTGAGGCAGTCAGGGGGTGTTTATGGGTTTGGAAATGAGCATCCAGCTCCCTGCTATTGGAAAAAACCTCTCCAGTGTCCTGCCAGGCAAGCTCTGCTCTCCTGCCCAGCTGCAGGGCTGGGGGGCTCCAGCCATGCCAGATTCTGCAGCATTCTCCACTGAGACACTGCTCAGCCCTGACCTAAAGCTCAGCCCTGGCCAAATGTTTGTCCAGAAGTACAAAAAAACCTCTTTGTGTCACTCAGATGCTACCAAAATGCTTTTATAGCCAAAATGCTTTCAGGGTGCTGCATAAAGGGATGAATGTCATAGTTAATTTATCTTCAACAGGTGTACCTTAAAAAAAAAATGTACAAAGAGGTGAATCCTACCTGAGCTGCTGCTGGACTGGCTTTGGCCACATCCCTGAACCACCTCATCTGTGAATTCCCATTAAAAAAATCACGTTGAAGGAAACTTGTGTCTCCCCACCCATTTGCTTTGGTGGCTCAGGGGTAAGGCTGTCTTTTTCCAGATACTGGGAAGAAATCCTTCCCTGTGAGGGTGGGCAGGCCTGGCACAGGTGCCCAGAGCAGCTGGGGCTGCCCCTGGATCCCTGGCAGTGCCCAAGGCCAGGCTGGACAGGGCTGGAGCAGCCTGGGGCAGTGGGAGGGGTCCCTGCCATGGCAGGGGTGGAATAGGTGATTTTTAAGGTCCCTTCCAGCCCAAACCATTCCAGGATTCCCCTGCTCCAGTGTCCTTGCCCCAGAGGCCCAGGTGAGGTGAGCACAGTGCCAGGGGGCTCTCAGGACTCCAAGCCCCTCCAGGCAGGAATAGCTCTGGCATTCCCAGGTGTGGTTCCAGGCCCTTGGCTGCTGCAGCTGCTCAGTGGATTTTCCATGGCAGCAATTTCTGTTGTCACACTCAGCTCCCAGCAAAACAAAACCCATTCCCTGAGGATCAGTGCAGGTGGGAGCTTTTGGAAAGATGGGGCTTGCCTGGGGAGGCAAACCTTGAGAAGGCTTCAACTTGTCCAAACTTCTGCTTTCCTTTGGGAAATCTACAGTTCTACATTGAAACCAGGAGGAAAAGAATGTTTTTCTTTGAAAACTGGCCGTCTTCTTCTTTTGTGTTGTCATGCCAGGGGTGTGTGTGCAGCCAGCAGTGAAGTTGTTACCTCTGCTTCCTGTTTCACTTTATCTAATCTGTAATTTCTATTTAGGATTTTTAAAAGGATGTCCTTTTGTTGTCCTTCCCCTCTTACAGCTGTAGCAAGATCCATTTTCCAGAGTCAGGAATCACGTGTGCTCCATATACTGACTTTATTAACTCTCATACTCTGTGGATATTTAACAGTGATTATTTAATTCCTGCTAAGAGCCTAAATATCAACAAAATGCAGAGATTTCCTCAGCATTTACCTGAGCCGGATAAATCAGCAGGGCTGGGCTGCAGTTGGGTGTAATCCCTTGGGATTTTCCTCTGCTCAGCTCTCACTGTGTTCTCTTGGAATGTCACTGCAGGCAAACTGAAGGATCTGGGCAATTTGGTGCTGCGCCCCTTTGGCCTGTCAACAGAGAACTTCCAGATCAAACAGGATTCATCTACTGGCTCCTACTCCATCAACTTTGTCCAAAACCCCAACAACAACAGATAACATGGATTCAGTGTGCCTCTGCTCAGCCCGTGCCAGGATCCAGCAAACAACACCCTCCACCCCAGGGCAAGAGGAGACTCAGCAAACTCATTTCCCAGCTTGTGAAATTATTTGCAATGTGGATGTAAAGCAACTCATTCAACTTCTCATAGTGATAACTGTGTCCAGTGTGTGATTTATTCTTTTTTATTTATTTATTTTTCCCCTTCCCTCGTGGTGTTTGGCTTTTCCAAGGGGCAGTTCCTTGGTTTGAGCCACTCAGTGCTGGCAGCAGCAGCTCAGGGGAACCCAAAGGCTGGGACAGAGGCTGGTGGTGTCCTGGGAGTGGGGGGATCCAGCAGCAGCACTGCCCACCCTCAGCTGGGTGGGACTGGCACCCCTGCCCTCAGCTCTGCCCTGCAATCATGGATCTTCTAATAAAGGCTTGGTACTTCTGCTCCTGGGCTTGTGAGGTTCTTGCCTGGGCTGAGCCCTCCCCAAGGGGGGTTTGTGTTGAAGGTCCCACAAATGACACCTGGCAGGACAGTCAGAGGAAGCTGTGGGGTTTTGGGCCCTGCTTGCAGCAGTGCTGTCATTTAAGTTCACGCCACCCCTCCAGCAGTTTGTTTACTGGGTATTAATTTTTCTGAAGGCAGCAAAGACATTTTGTGCCTCCTTCTCCATCTGCACACCTTGTGAAGGTGCCTCCAAATGCAATGTGCTTGTCCCAGATCCATTCATGTTGCAGGGATGCACAGGAGCTGATTGCAGAAGGTCTCCACAGTAACTGGACCTTGAGGACTTGGAAAAGTTTCTAGAATGAGATGACCTCTGAGGTCCCTTCCAGCCCAAACCAGGCCGTGACATAACTATAAATATATGTATATATATTTGTATGTTCTGTTGTGGTTCATTCAGGTTTTGGAGAAGGTGCCTTTTGCAATTCCTGCTTTCCTGGGGTTTGTCAGAGCTGGAGTGCTTACATTGGAGGCAGATTCTGCAGTTGTCTCCATGCAGATTTCATTCAGTACATGCTTTAATTAAATAATCAGCAGTGGCTGCCTTGGCTATTGGGTGTCATCTCCAATTCATTTCAGGAAGTCTCTGTGTCTGAAATTCAGGAGCTCCAGCCTTCCCAGGCACAGCAGGTTTGATGCTTTAATGTAATTTTTGTCTCTGCAGCTGTGCAGAGTTGATTGTTAACTCTCCCACTGCATTTTTAGTTTAGTTTTAATTTAGAGCTGGGCCTGGCCTTAGATCAGCTGTGAAACCTCTGCTGCCTGAGCTGGGCTCTGCAGGGAAGGCTCAGTGGCTTGGGATTAGTGGAAATGTTAATAATCTTCCCTGAAGCCTGGAGCAGTGCAGAGCAAAGGTGCTGGCCTGGGCAGGGCTGGCCTGGGTTCTGGGCAGGCCCCAGCAGCACCAGCTGGGCCTGCTTCCACTCACCTGCAGCATCCCAGCACACCCCTGCAGGGACAACAATTGAACTTTGGAACTACCCTGGATGCTTTAAATTTTAATTTTTTTTAAATTCTTTAACATTTCCTTGCTCTGACCAGCGGGTTTCTGTCCCTGCCCACACTGTGTGCAGTGTCACTCACCCGTGGGTGGCTCTTGTGCCCAGTTACCAGTGGCCTTTTCCACCCTGCTGCTTCAGGGACTGGATTTCTGTTCTTTCCAGTCTGTTCCTGCTTCATCCCTTTGGAAGCCTGGGGAGCTGCAAATATTCCTTCTCAGCTGGAGACTGGGGAATTTCTGGGAAATAGAAGCACAACAAAGCTTTTGAATTTCCTACCTGCTGTGCAAACACATCATCAAATCATTGTGCAACCCCCCTGCAGGATGCCTGATGTGCACCTGGAGTTTCCAATGAAGGGAAGGGCAAAGGAAGCAGGACTGCAGCTGATTAGTGTTTGTAATTTAATTGGATTGTGTGAAAGTCACTGGGAGCTGGGCATGCTGGTACTGAGAACTCAAACCTCCAGGTCATCCCTCCCTCCTCAGTGCCACTCTCCAGCTGGACCAGAAACCTCTGGCAGGTGTTCTCTGCCAGCACAGCAAGTTCTCCTCTAGGCAAAATTCCAATTAATTGCCTGAAAGTCCTTTTGCATTGTCCAAATCCTGAACAAGTGCATGTGTCTTGCTTTTGATTTTTTTAAATGTTTTTTTAAGTCTAAACTAGTCCTCACGTCTAGACCAGTAAAATACCTGGTGCCTCCTCCTGGTGCCACTGGCCACCACTCAGGGAGATTTGAGTCACACTTGTGGGATTTACAACCTCTACTAGGAAAAAACTGTTTTAGGAAACACAATCTTTTAAATATAAGTGCTGCTAAACCAAACAGTTCCTTGCTCAAGTGTTCCAGCAGTTACTCACCCTCTGGTAACCAGCATGTGCCTCCTTTCCAGCTGCAGTTGTCCATCCTCAGCTCCTGCCTTTGTTCCTCCTTCCTTTGCCTGCCAAACACAAAACCTTTCAGTAGCTGGCCTCACCCCTGAGGTGTTTGCACAGAAATAAAGGCAGTGTTGGTCTTGTCCTTGAGCTGGCTTAGGTCTCTCCCTACAAAGAACTTTCTCCAGGATTTCCATAACATTTGTGGCTCAGACCTTCCATTATTTGACACCAGAGCTGACAGTGGGATTTGTCTCTGCTTTATGCAGAGGCTCTCACTCACTTCTCTGGCCCCTCACAGACTTTGATCCTTTTGGCTGCAGATGGGCTGAGGTTTAGATTCATGGATTGTCAGGATGGTTTGGGCTGGAGGGAGATTGGAGCTCATCCAGTCCCACTCCCTGCCACAGGCAGAGACACCTTCCTGAGATCAGGGACACCTTCCACAGACCAGGGACACTTTCCAGAGACTGGGAACACCTTCCATAGGCCAGGGACACCTTCCACAGACCAGTTTGCTCCAAGCCCCATCCCACCCAGCCTCATTCCAGATCCTGCTTGTAGACACCTTCCATGGGCAGAGACACCTTCCTGAGATCAGGAACACCTTCCACAGGCCAGGGACACTTTCCAGAGACTGGGAACACCTTCCACAGACCAGGGACACCTTCCATAGGCCAGGGACACCTTCCACAGACCAGTTTGCTCCAAGCCCCATCCCACCCAGCCTCATTCCAGATCCTGCTTGTGAGTCCTGACCCTCAGAGGAGCTGAGCACCTGCAGTTCCCTCCATCCCACCAAAGATTTGGAGCATTTAACATCTCTGAAAAGATAGAAAAAGCAGCTCCCCAGTTCACGTCTTCAGCTCTGTCCCCAAAACCCCAGCCCCAAGGCAGGCAGCCACACTCCAGGGCAGGCTCAGTGGGACTGACAGAGGCCCAGCACAGCCAATCCCTCCTGCCCAGCAGGATCCAAAATCTCCCCCAGCTCATCCCTTGGGACATTCAGGCTTTGACAAAGCACCAAGCTTTGAAGCCCAGTCCTTCCCTCCTTGATTAACACAAAACTTCCAGGGATCTACCTGCCCCTGATTAGCACAGCCCAGCCTGGGAGAGAGGAGAAGCTGCTGGTCACCAGCTCCTAGGCTTTAATTAGCTGTGTTATTCCCAAGGGATTACTGCTGCAGCCAAGAGCCAATTACACCCCAGTGCCTCCCCCCAGCACGGCAAAGATGCGCTGGGGCACATTTAATGTGCAGCATTCATACATTGCTCATTCACAAGCTTTCCCTGTTTGGATGAATCCCAACATTTTCTTGCTCAGCAACTTTTTCCCACCCCGGGCAGGGCTGTGACTGCTGGGGGGGCTCTGGGTAGCGCCTGGCACAGGAATTGTGGCACTAAGCCAGAGGCATCACTGCCTCCCCTGACAAAGATTAAAGGCTCTAAATCAACTGAAAATTAAAATAAACCCCCTTTTTCCTGATTCTGCACGTTCAGTGGGAAT